AGCGCGTGACGACAGCGTCACGTGCGTCGCTATTGGTTAAGGGCGCGTGCCAGACGAAATCCTCTAGATCATTTTCTCTCTCTCTTTCTGGTGTTCCATCTCTGTCTAACGGCTTTTCGATGTTTCTACGTCGTAGAATTTCTGGAATGTTCTATTCTCATCGATAATTCTAATATTAGATATAAAATGATGCGATTATCAACTAATAGTTTAAATCAGAATTATTGAACAATAAATATGCGGGTAACTATAAACATGAACTATATCTGTTGTACTATTATGTATGAATAATGGAACCGGTGATCACGAGGTTTCTTAATTAACAATTGTCCTTCCCATAATCATTATGTTCGTAAAGAAATCGATCAACAATACGAATTGCGCCGGTACGCTCGTTATAAGGCATTCGGTGTTCGATTGCAATTTTCAATAACGACAGTTTTCCCTTATTAATCGAATATTCGTTATTACATTTGCGACGTAGTTGATTCGAGAACGTTCTCGCCATTCAAAAATTACCGTTAGGTTTTCGGTTTCAGGCAAATTCTCAGTATTCGATACAAAGACTTTTATTGCCGCGTACGACCCGTCGCCTCTAAACAGTCCTCGAACGCTTGCTAACGTTTGCCTGCAAGGGTTCTCATTCCTCGCTCTCGCATCCATACAAATATTCAACACGCTAGGATACATCGCGTTCTCATTCCAGCATTCAATTCATACACGCGGTCGGGTTAGAGACCGACTGGCGCCCACGCGTGAAAAAGAGGAGAGTATCGGTGTTAATTTCAGCAATAATGTAATCTTTGCGCTTTTGCGCAGTTAGCCTGAGGAGACCCCTACAATGCGAAGCACTGGCTAACCACGCCGCGAACGCTGTTTACGATACCTCTCCTCGGTCGAAGCCGAGTTTTTCTATCACGAGTTTCTGTTACTACGCAGTTGAGCACGACGATAGTTTCAAGGAGGGGTTTTAACTAAGAAAAGAATTGAGAAGTATGCGAAGAATGAAAGGATAGAAAAGACAAAAGTAGAATAATTATAAGCTCAAACTTTTCCCTGTGCATTTCCCACATGAAGAAGTCTCTTACAACCCGAAGGCTTGATGGGAAAGCACAGAGTCAAGGAGAAATTAAAGAAAGGTGAAGTAGTAATTCGCCCTCCCCACGCCCCTTACATGAGGAGACTCCTACAACCCGTAGGCTGGATAAGGGAACGTGAGGCGGACAAATTCGTAAAATTTTTCCGGACGTGACAGCAGCAACAGCAGCAACAAAACCAGCAGCTGCACCTGTTGCTGTCTGGTGACCAAGTATTACTTCCGCTGCAACCGGTGGTGCCGCTGCAGTTGCAGCATTTGCAGCAACAAAGCGTAAGTCGTTTTCTTACGTTCCTGTTTGTACGTTATTTCTGCTATTCATTGTTTATACATAATAACGTAATATTTATTTTTCCAGTCATTAAGAAGTATAGAGCAGCGGATGATACGACAATGCTGCAGGGCGACGAACCGGCAGCTGCGGGAAGAAAGGGAGCTTCGCGGTCGCGGCCGCGGCTCGGACAGCCAAGCCGGCTGTCCGTGCGGATATATTCCGAACATCCTTGGCACGGGCCACAGTGTCGCTTGCATATGGCGTATGCCGCCAACTGGGGAAGATAATTGGAGGCAATAGCCGTTAGAAGTGAATACGACGATAATATATGTATAATATGTAATAATGAAAGATAATATACAAATATGATTTCTTTGATTTCAGGAACTATTATTATTTATTATTATTATTACGATTATTATTATTTTTTTTTTTTTTTTTACTACCACTACTACTACTACTACTACTACTATTACTATTATTGTTGTTATTATTATTATTATTATACTTATTATTACTATTGTTATTATCATTATTATATCTAATTATAACATCTTCCGCTAGTAACGTTCTTGTCATTTATTCTCCTATTCCTTATCCTGTGTACTCACGATGTATACATACGATTTCCTAAATCCTTAGTTTTTGAAATATACTGAAAAATATCAGCAGACGTTCGTGCGATTTATCCGTCTCTCTCCGTTCCATTATTATTTAAACATATTTACATGTCTATAATGTAATAACAATTTAGATCATTTTGCTCGATAGAGTCTACAGAATTATTACGTGGAAAAAGGACCTGAATATCTGCTATTGTAAAAGCATAAATCATTTCCAAAATTGAATACTTGCAATTTTTCTAACAAGATTGATTATCTAAAAAACTATACAAGTTAGATAAAAATGGTTTGCAGATTCAGATTCACCATACAAAAATTTATAACTCACTTATTAAAAGTTACAAAAGCAAATAACTATTGCAATTTATCAAACGTTGTTGAAAGTGGATGATTTTCGCTGTGAGGTTCATTTCGGATACGATCCTATTTGCAATGTTATATCTCGATTATTATTCAACTAAATCTTTTGCTTTTTGACTATGTTAGATAATTATGTATGTAGAATAATTTGATATGCATAATCAGTGTATTTTATTTGTATTTATTGTTTATATACAGTTCGTTGCGGGTGGACGATTTTCGCTGCGAGTGCCTGTACATGGGTACATTGACGATTTCGATTTATAGGAATTCGGAATACAATATCGGGACATATTATTTAAAAAAAAAAGTAACCTTAGGCACTCGGTTTATAGGAATTCGGAATACAATATCATTTTAAAAAAAACTAACTTTAGACATTCAATTTGTAGGAATATTTTTCCCTTGGTTATTTTATATTACAAAAAATGTATTTATAACATTTGCCTAAAGGAATTAGATCGTTCATATATTTGCTAGGTCATGTGTGCAGTATCGTATTTTATACTTTGCTGTAACGTATATAGTAGAGCTATCGTAGCATCCGTGTGTCATTTAGGTGTATGCGAAAAGTGACGTAGCATAGCATGCCGTTAGTTGGATGCGATAATTCAGGTGGCGTTGAAATCAGTTTCTGTTCGGCCTAATTTTCGATGAATCGTTGACTGTTTTACCGACGCGGAATTCGAAGTTCGGGCTCCACGCTAGCATCACCTTAACGTGCGCGTCTCTGAGTCCTTGCCGCGTATTCGCGAAATTCACCCTCACGACACTCTGCCTAATAGGACTTGTCGCGCAGCTAATTCACACGAAGTACTTCGACAACTCTATCTCTAGACGCACGGGCTCCAGTCACGTACTTACACGATTGATCTGTTGCGTTATTGAAAGTTATTTTAATATTGGTTGCTAATTGTTACAACAAGGGATAGTGAACAACACATGGCGTAAGCAGTCTATCGTCTCTCTTTTTTATTGTATGAACAGCAGCACTATACAGTGCATGCAACGTGCCAGAATAAACGGACCAACCTAACATATTATTCCAACACTCCCCCGTAAATGCAGGACGGTTTATTATGTTTGTTACACAAAGGCATAACAGTTAAGACACTGGTGCAAATTTTAGAAAGTACAGGTACAAGGAAAAGTTAATATATATAAAGTACAAAAATTAAGATATAGGATTTAGCTTAAAATATAAGAAACAATAGTTTATGATTAACATATCAAAATAATGATTAAACAATTACATGGCACAGAAGAAAAGCAGCTCTTTGGCAAATTTCTCGAACTTTGCTGAAGGAAGTGGTTTGGTAAATATATCACTTGGGTTGTCTTCAGAAGGTACATAGATCATGCTGAAAAGTCCCTTGTAGTATTCATCTTTTACAAAGAAATATTTCACCTCAATGTGGTGACTTTTCTTGAGCCTCCCTGCTTTGATAAGTTTTATTGTACTTTGATTGTCAATGTACAAAGTAGCTTTAACTTCTTTGTTAGTTAACTCCTTCAGCAATTCGATAAGGTATTTCAGTTCTTTGGCACACTCACAGGCAGCAACTAATTCAGATTCCATGGTTGATTGGGCTACAATGCTTTAGCGTCTGGAGGAGCATGAGATTGGACCCCCAAATAAGGTAATAATGTGCCCTGATGTGCTTTTTCTTCTTATATTTTCTGTGCTATTATTGTCATTAGCATAGTCTGCATCACAGAAGGCATGTAGATGCAAAGTTTCTTCTGTATCAGTCTTGGAACTTGCATAGAAAATTCCACTTGCACTTGTTCTCTTCAGGTATCTTAAAGTTCTCTTCACATTGATGAAGTCCTTGTTCTTTATTTATCTATGGATCTACTTTCAAAATTTACAGCAAAACTCAGATCTGGTCGAGTTTTACACGCTAAATATAACAGGCTTCCAATTCCTTCCCTGTAGTTAAAATTTTCAAACTTCCCTTGATATTCATCTTCATCATCAGTTTTGTAGATATCTAGAGTGATCGGAGTTGACATTGGCTTTGCATCTTGCATTTTGAATCTGGTTATTATTTTCTTGGCATAATTCTCTTGAGAAATGATAATTCCTCCTTCCGTCTTCTCAATGTCAATTCCAAGATAGGATTCTGGTTCTTCATTTGTTGTCATGTCAAATTCTTTCATTCAGTTTCTCTTGAAGTTGTTTGATCTTGGCTTTGTCTTTTCCATTATGCCATCATCAACGTGGATGGCTAAATACATATCACCATGTTATGTCGGCGGGATAAGCGTAATGAAAAACTCGTAATTGATAATAATGAGATTAACTGAACGTATGTATTTGAACAAGTTTGAATGGTAAATGTAAAAGTATAATAATGGCTGACTGTTCGCTGTAGCGTAATCGCACGTGTATATCTCTCGCTATGCTGAGCGTCTTCTGCCCAGTTTTGTTCGTTCTCCCCATTCTTCGCCTCACTTCGACATGCGCGCATGCGCGATACATTCATCACAAGCCGGATATCTAACACTTATATTGCATGTAACGGAAAATTGAGAATGTAACAAATCATAAAAAGAAAACGTAACGTAAGGAAAAAAAAATAAGAACGTAAAATGAAATACTGTGTTTGTAATATCCTTATTCTAATTCTTCTTATCGCTAAACTTATTCATATGTAATTTCGAAGTCTCTTAGTCGCGTTGGTAGTTTTACGTTTCTCCGCGGTCTTTCCGCTGTTCGCCTGGGCGTAATTGTAATGGACTCCGCGCTTCTTTCGAATCGTTCATCCTGAGGTATGCCTGGGGTTTGTACCGGTGTTTGTCGTGGTGACGCTTGTGTAGGGCATGGAGGTTCCATCGCAGGTTCTTGGTTCGCTGTTTCCACTCTCGTGAGTGTATCGCCAACTGTGGAAAAATCTGATTCTTTTTGAACAACGCTTGAATAATCAGTTGGTTTCGGGAGTGTGTTTTCCCCTATCTCCCGTATTTGGTTTACGTGTCTTTTCCAGATTCGTCCATCGTCCAACTTAACTTTATAATGTAGTCTACCTATTCTTTCTACTATGTTTCCGAACTCCCATTTATCTGTGCCTACGTAATTTCTACAACTCACTCTTTTTCCTTCTTCGAAAACAATGGGTGCCACTGTATTTTGAAATTTGCTATCTTTAATAACAGGTCTAGTCGTGTACGCAATTTTCTATTGAACATTAATTCGGCTGGTGATTTACCAGTAGTATTGTGTTTTGCATTTCGGTACTGTAGAAGAGTTTGCTGTAACGCAATATGTAATTTCGTTTGCTCGGGTCGCATACGTCGTAAAGAATTTTTTAGAATTTGTACATATCGTTCCGCTTGACCATTCGTTGATGGGTTGTAAGATGCTGTAAGTTTCTGAGTAATTCCGTTCATTTTTAGGAATTGTGTAAATTCATTAGACTTAAAAGTTTTGCCGTTATCGGAAACTAGTTGTTTAGGTAAATCGAACGTAGCAAAAATTTTCCTACATACTTCAATTGTTTTCGCGGAAATGTCTTTGACTATATGTACCTCCGGCCATTTCGTGTACGCGTCCACTAAAATGAAAAAAAAGTGTCATAAAAATGGCCCTGCGAAATCTACGTGTACGCGGCTAAAAGGTATTGAAGGTGGTTCCCACACGTGTGGTTCCATTTTAACTGGGTTATTTTTGAAAGCGTTGCAATCCTGACAATTTCTCGCGAGTTCTTCGATATCGTGATCAATGTTTGGCCACCACACATATCCCCTAGCGATGCTTTTCATTTTTACTACTCCGAAATGTCTTATGTGTAATTCTGATAGTATTTGTTTACGTAAGGTTGATGGGAAAAGTCACCACTCGGTGTCCTCTTAGTATTACCCCATCTTGTAATGTAAATTCCCTTAAATCTACGTTTGCGAAAGCGAAATTGTCTTTAGGGGGATTTTTTCCTGATAGTAATATCTTTTTTTGTTCAGCCATGGTTGTATCCTTTTTTGTGGCTGCCACTAAATCACTGTGTGTCAACGGTAGATTTTCGATGGTTTCTAATTGAAACGCATCGATTACATCTGGAGAAGTATTTTCTTTAATTGGAAGGCGTGACAAACAGTCGGCGTTCGCGTGTAGTTCTGATTTGCGATATTTAATCGTATATCTAAACCCTTGTAGGAAAAGTGCGTAATGGTGCATGCGCATTGCACTGTAAGCTGGTAAGCTTTTACTGGGCGCAAAAATTTGTACTAGTGGGCGATGGTCTGTAACCAGAGCAAAATGCCCGCTTACTAAATATTGATGAAATTTCTTTATTCCGAAAATTATCGCGTACGCTTCTTTATCGATTTACGAATACGATTGTTGGGTTTTAGAGAGTGTTTGCGACGCGAATTGTATGGCCCGCTCTGTACCGTCCGGGTACAGATGTGATAGCACTGCTCCCACACCGTAAGGGCTTGCATCGGTTGCTAGAATCATTGGTAATGTTGGATCAAAATGAGCTAAGCATTTAGGGCTTATGAACGCTTCCTTTGCCGCTTTGAAGCTTTGTTCGCAGTCTTTGGTCCATTGGAAACGTATATTTTTATGTAATAATTTATTTAACGGTTGTAATATTGAACTTAGGTTCGGAATGAAACGTCCGTAGTAATTAATCATGCCTAGAAAACTACGTACCTCTGTTACGTTCTGTGGTCCACACATACCTTCGATTGCTTTGATTTTATCCAGGGCTTTATGTAATAGTTTATTTGTCGCGCAAAAAATTCGCTTTTATCTGGATTTATTCTAATATTGTATTTTTGTAAACGCGTGAAAACTAATTCTAGAGTTCGTAAGTGGTCTTCCACACTTGAACCCGCAATGCGTATGTCGTCTAAGAAAACTGCGACGCCTGGAATGTCGCCTAGTATGCTTTCAATTGTTCTTTGCCAGATCGCTGGCGCGGATGCAATCCCGTACATTAAACGTGTGCAACGGTAAAGACCTTTGTGTGTATTTAGCGTAAGCAAATGTCTGTCCTCCGGGCGGACTTCCATTTGTAAATATGCCTGTAGAAGGTCGATTTTTGAAAAGATTACTCCTCCCGCCATAGATGCGAACAGTTCATCCGCTGTCGGTAAGAGGTGGTCATCTACTATTAATTGCGCGTTTAACGTTACACTGAAATCTCCACAAATACGTATTTGTCCATTCTTTTTAAGTACCGGCACGATGGGTATAGCCCATTCCGCGGTGTCGACTTTAATCAAAATACCTTCCGTTTCTAATCTTAATAATTCCTCTTCGATTTGTGTACGTAGACGAAATGGTACCGGGCGTGCTTTGCAGAAAATCGGCTTCGCATTCTCTTTCAAAGTTAACTTGGCTTGAACATTTTTAATTTTTGCTACTGTCGGGGACGTAATGTCTTGGTACTTTTGTAAAAGTAATTGTAATTGCTTTTTAGAATTCATTTCTACCGAATGTATTGCTTCTAAATCATTGACTAATTGTCCGATAACACGGTCTTTACGTAGTTGAAAAATTCATTCGCGGCCTAGTAATGTGTTTCTATTCTCTTTTACAATGTTCGAGCGTCGAACGAGCAATCTAGAAATTTCTAGATCGCTTCCTTCGCCTCTGCTGTTCGTTCCGCCGGCCTCCAGCCATCTCACTCGCTCCGTTGGCCGACGTAGCGAGCCGACTGGGCTGCTAGACCGGCGGGCGACGGCGGGGATGAAGGAACCATAATATAAATATGCCGCCGCATACTTGCGTGCTTGCTTTTTCTTTATACTCGGCTTAGCGTACAAGTTTGGCAGAAATTCGAACAATCTGCTTCGGTTAGCAAGAACTGTTAAACTTTTCTTTGGATTTCTCTTTATTCAAATACAATTCTCAGAATCAAAGATCCTCCGTGATCACTATTCGCACCTTTTTCTATACGCGGTTGCACCATCGGAAGGTATCGCTTCGGCAAGGTCGCGCACCGGCAAAAACTTTCTGGCGAATCCGTTCTCTAACCCCTTTCCCGGTTAAGGGGCGAAAACGATCAAACAACAATGTATAAATTTAGTTTGTGTATACGCTTACAGCACTTTACGTTAACTACAATGTAACCTAGGGGTTTAACCCTTTTACGTCTGAGCTCATCTGACATGACTAAAACTGCTGCTCCGCTGTCTATTTCGAATTTCACTCGCCTGTCGCTTACCGATAGCGTAGTCTCCAGCTTTTCCCTGTACTGCGTATGCTCTAATTGTAACACCTCCGTCAAGTGATTATTCTCGCGGTTCCGTTGGAAACAAACCCTCTGTAAATGTCCTGCCCTACCACAAGCGTTACATTTAATATTTTTATCTAACGTATATTTTGACGCGAGATGATTTTTGCCGCAACAGTAACAAGTAATATTTGTATGTATATTTACAGGATTCGACTTATTATTATTTTTTTTACATTAGTATTTCTAGAAAAACTATTATTGACTTTAGACGACTTATCTGTATTTCTTCCTCGCTTGGTAATCCGTTTCGCCGCTTGTACTATGTTTACCTCTGACGTCTCTCCTTGAAGTTGTTGTGTTCCTTTGTCCGATATCTCCATCGTTGTTGCCACCTGCGTCGCTTTCTCCAAGGTCAAGTCCGGTAATTCGAGAAGTCGTGCTTGAATTTTCTTGCTGATCAACCCAAAAACTAATTGGTTGCGTAGTGCAGTCTTTACGTATTCGCCAAATTTACAGTGTAAGCAGAGTTTCTGCAGGGCTGCTAAAAATTCTTGTATCGATTCACCTTCCTTCTGCTTTCGTTGGTGAAATTTGTAGTTTTCCACTATTTCGAGCGGTGCTGGCTCGTAGAAATCGCCTAACGTTTTTGTTAGAGTTGTATAAGTCGCTTCGAATGGGTCCTGTGGAGCTAACTGGTTACACACGATGTCGAAAGACGCCGGTCCAACGTAATGTAATAAATAAGGAACTCTTGCCTCGTTTTTAATTGTGAAGATCCGGAAAGCTCCTTCCAATCGCATCAGCCATCTTGACCACGTTGTGCTTGTGGGGCAGAACGGTTCAATTACGAATGTATTAGGTACCATCGTTGCTGTAGCCATGGTCACCGTCCTTTTTCTTCAGCTCCGTTGTGTGGAATTTTCCTCGCCGTTGCCTTTGTCCGACCAGGTGCTCGCTTCGAAAAAATCGTGTACGATTTTCCGTACTGGTTCGTGATAAAGAGTCCTCGTCGCCAAATTGTTATGTCGGCGGGATAAGCGTAATGAAAAACTCGTAATTGATAATAATGAGATTAACTGAACGTATGTATTTGAACAAGTTTGAATGGTAAATGTAAAAGTATAATAATGGCTGACTGTTCGCTGTAGCGTAATCACACGTGTATATCTCTCGCTATGCTGAGCGTCTTCTGCGCAGTTTTGTTCGTTCTTCCCATTCTTCGCCTCACTTCGACATACGCGCATGCGCGATACATTCGTGACAAGCCGGATATCTAACACACCATTTTCAGACTTGAAAATACATTGATCTGATTTCAGTTGTATCATTCTTTGTAATTTGAGAAATGTTGTGAATCTCTTGTTCCATTGACATGAAGCTTGACGCAGTCCATACAGTGATTTCTTCAATAGACAAACCTTACCAGGCTGGTTAAATCATTCTGGTACTTTCATGTAGATTGATTCTTGTAATTCTCCATATAAAAATGCTATCTTCACATCCAAGGTCTGAATATCCCATTGATTACGGGCTGCAATGGCAAATAGCAATGTGAGAGAGGTTGTGTCAACCACTGGACTATATATATTCTCGTAGTCCATGTCATTCCTGTCTTGAGAACATCCTCTTGCTACCAATCTTGCCGTAAATCTTCCATCCTCTTTTACTTTAAATACCCATCTGTTTATGAGTATCTGTTTTCCTTTTGCTGGGTATTGATTTACATAAACCCATGTTTTATTTTTCATGAGTGAATCCTTTTCTTCTTTTATGGCTTTCTGCCATTGATCTTTGTCTCTTGAGTTGATAGCTTCATTAAATGTGAGTAGAGCTTTATTCTCTTCGTGTTCATCTTCACTTGAGAGATTCATAACATAGTCATTAAATCTCTTTGGTAATTTTGTTTGTCTTCTTGGTCTTGGTATTTCTTCATTTCTTGGTATTTCTTCATTATTTTCATCTTCTCCCCCGTTTTCTTGATCTTCAGGTTCTTCCATATTCTCTTGATTTTCTTGTTCTTCAAAAACATTCTCTTCTACTTCTTGATAATTTATGATATTTAGGTATTCTTCTACTGGTTCTGTGTAAAACATAGTGTCTGTGAAAATTACATCTTTGCTTATGTATATCTCCTCTTCTTTGGCATCCCATAAACGGTAACCATTTGGTGCATAGCCAGCAAACATGGCCTCTTTACTTCTACTTTCTAGTTTCTTCAGGGGTTTGACAATTTTTGAAAAAACTTTTTGTCCAAACACTTGCAAATTTGACAGATCAGGTTTCCTATTCAACCATTTTTCTGCAGGAGTTATATCCATTCCTTTGGTTGGGCTTCTATTTGCCAAGTAACATGCAACTCGGACTGCTTCACCCCACATTTCTTTTCCACATTTGGCATCAAACATAAGTGCTCTGGCTTTATTTAATAGAGTCAGCATCATTCTTTCACTTTTCCCATTCAGTTGGAGTGTGTATGGAATGGTGAAATCTTGTATTATACCTTTATCTTTACACCAGTCAAAAAGAAGAGCATTTTTAAATTCACCTTCATTGTCACTTCTTAGTTTGCTTGCTTTCAAGTTGAATCTTGCTTCTGCTTCTTGTACATATCTCTTGATACATTCAAAAACTTCATAGGATGTTTTGGTTTCTAGAAGATACCCTGTGCAAAAATGTGTATAGTCATCCAGCAAGACTATAAAATAGTTCATGTTGTCATGAGTTGGTGGATCTATGGCTCCACTAAGATCTGTGTGGATTATTTCCAATGGGCGGGTTGCTCTTTCTCTCACAGTTTTGAATGGTAATCTCACTTATTTGGCCTCTGCATAGATTTTACAGTCTATACTAGTCCATTTGTCATTGAAGGATATCGGGGATTTTCTTCATTTGGCCGTAACTAAGATGACCAAGCTTCCTATGCCATTCTTTGAGTTGGTTTGATTTTTCAGCAACAAGAGTACTTCCACTTTCTTTATTTATATTGACCACATACAAACCGTTTTCATTCTTGTTTCCTTCAATCACCACATCTTCTCTGGGTATTTCAAGTTTGGTTTTTAGTACATAGACCTTGTCTTTATCAAAATATACTGTACCTTCTGCTTCAGTAACACAGTGCACTGAAAAGAGATTACGTGACAAGTTTGGTACATGATCGACTTCTTTGAGAATGCATTGATCAAATTCAATTGTACCACATCCTTGTATTTGTATAGATGCTCCTTCTTGGGCTGTTTTTACACTGTCTTTGTATTCTTTCAGATCAGAAATTATTTCTCCGTTTTTGGACATCATTCTATTATATCCACTATCAACAACCATTTCTAAATCATCTTCTTGTTTTTCAGCGTTTTGTATAACGTATAAAGACTCAGTGTGCGCAAGAAACACAACTTTGTTTTTCTTGTTTGAATTGTCATACTTCTCCCTTTCTTCATGTTCTTGCCTGTACTTGCATTCTTCTGATTTATGAGTCATTTTCTTGCAATGTTTGCATGCTTTGTCTTTAAAGTAGCAATCTTCAGTGACACGTTTTATTACTGGTTTACCCAATTGTCTACAGATAGCGCAGGGTTTCACAGATGGTTGGGGTGTTTTATATTCTTGTTTATACGTAGTATATTCCTGTTTCTTGTTTTCCTTGCAATCCGACTTAATGTGGCCGTGTTCACCGCAAGAGTGACAGATTATATTTTTGTATTTATTTTTCACTTCTGCTCTGACAAGATGAGGCCACAACCTCTGTCCCACCGATTTTGATCGCCTTCAACATATAGGTTGGGGGTCATCCAAAAGTCACTTGGGGTATAGTTCCGAATAGCCCCGGCGGAGGGGGGGGGGTCCCCCTTTGGAGGGGGAGGGGGGGAAGGGGAAGACCCCAAA